AAGGGTAGCTGTGCTGGTCAGGGCTCTCCAGAAGAACAGAAGCCAACCACATAGATGCCTAAGTATGTTAAGAGATTTATTTTTGGGGATCGGCTCATGACATTGTGGGACCTGACATGTTCGGCCCCTACGGCAGGCCAGGGAGCTGGAGACTCAGGCAGGATCTGATTTCTGTGTTACGACTGGGAGGCAGAATCCTGGAAACCTCAAAGCTCTTGCTTGAGGCCTTCAACTGATTAGATGAGGCCCACCCACCCCATGGAGGACAATCTCCTCTAGTTAAAAGTCGGAGACATTAACCACATCCACAGACAAACCCTCACAGGAACACCTAGAGTTGGACCCGATGATTGTTCTGACCTAGTTGACCCATGGAAGCATGGGTGATGGAGGCATCACAGCCGTTCTAAATGTCTTGTGTGACTCCTTAAGACTCTGCCTGACCTAGTGCTGTTGATCAGGGGCAGGGACAAAGGCACTTACCTTCTCTAGGCGTCATTTAGCCTCTTAAATAGCAGGCACCCAGCGAGCAGTGTGCAAATCTGAGGGTGTTGCCAAGACAGAGTCTGGCGAAACTGAGTGGCACAGAGGAAGTGTTCAGTTCTGCACAGCCGCTTCTTCTTTGTTCCAAACCCACTGCACGTGCACAAGCACGCTTTTTAATTTCTTGAATGGATGGTGGTGCCAGGCTTCCTGATGTCAACTGCCAGGCCCTGTCCTGGACAGTCTCTGTCCGTTAGGTTTGGGACAGCCTCTGTCTGTCAGGACCTCAGAACTCGCTGCTCTGCGTGACCCTCACAGCATGAGGCCGCTGTCCTGTAGCCACTTGCGTCCATTCTCTTCTAGCTTAGTGAGTCTGTGTGAGCCGGGGCTGGGCTGCTAGAGTCCTGGGGTGGCTGTGGCAGGGCTGGGGTGCCTGGCGCTGCTCCACAGCTGGGGGTGGGGGGCTCCCTATGTTTCCTTTGTCCCCGGGAGGCACAGAGAGGAGCAGGCCTCAGGGTCAGAACAGTTGCTGTCTGGGTTCCTTTGGGACCTAGTTTTTACTCCATGAAGATGGTCACCCCCACTCGGGCAATGGCACGAAGCCTGTCATCCCGATATGCCTCTCTGTGGCCAGAGCCACCTCGCTGCGGGACATGATGTTTTCAGGAGGGGACTGGCTCGGGCTGCAGTCCCAGGGTGGCTTCGAGGAGGACTAAGTCCGGGCACCGTGGCCAGCTCTGTGTGACTCAGCGGGTGGAGCTGCACGGGGCTGGGCCAGAGTCAGGCAGCCAAAGAGAACACAGCAGGGAACGGGGGGTTCCCACTCGGCCCGGCCAGGCCCTGAGCTGGCCGCCATCAAACCCTGTTCCTGCTCAAGCTGCCATCGCCAGCTGGGGGTAGACAGCAGGCAGGGGCTGACCTCGGCTGAGCTCGCCCTGTGGGCTCTGCCTTCCCAGAATCCATACCACCCCCTCACAGGGGAGGGCGTGGGCAGGCTGCCGAGATAGTACACTGCCTGCTGTCACTGTCGATGTGGTGGTGGGCCTGAGTGGAGCAACGGGGAGACAGGAGAGGTCTGCTGCGCCATGTGGGTAGCTCCCTGGCTGGAGCTCGAACTCGTGCTGCAGTGGCTGTGGATAGCTTCATCCACAGCTGATGCTTAACCCCTTGCACCACCAGGGAGGCCCCGAGAATTGACATTTATATCGCGCCTACTCTGCAGAATGGCGCCAGTCACCCCATGCAACCTTTTACCCAGGAACAGCCCTCCCTGTGCACATGCCCGGTCCCACTTTGGGATTCAGAACTTTGAAGTTCAGAAAGTGAGCATCAGAGGGACGCAGTGCCTGGCCCGTGAGCACAGTACTGGGAACACAGCGGTCAGGATTAAACCCAGGTCTGTCTGTGCCTCTTGTGCGCCATACACTGTTGGCCATGATCTGCTCGCACATTCTCCCAGACCCAGGAACAAGTTTGAGAGTCATTCTTCTGTGATGGAAAGTTTGGGGATCCTGTGTCAGTTAGTTCTGAGTCTGTTTTCCCGGTGCCACCAGGACCCCAAAGGCTGGGACTTGGAGGAGCTATTTTTCAAGCATCAGAGGGCTTGAGGACACACATGTTCACCATGCCCTCTGGCCGGGCTGCCGCGTCCCAAAGCTGCCGTGCGAGGAGGGCGCCGAGAAAAAGTGGCAGCAGATGGAGCCAGCCCTCCTGGAGCAGGCAGAGCCTGCAGCTGCAGCCCTCGGCCTGTTGATTTACTCTCTTCCCTCCCCTTCTGCTCACTCTGCTGGTGCGAGGGGATTTGCCGTGGCACCTCTGGGCCTCCCTGGGCCCCAACTTGTTCTGGATCTGCCCGGCCCCATATGCTTCCAGGACGCCAGCCAGGCACCCTGAGAGGCAGGGAAAGTGGCTGTGGCTTCCACTTCTGGCCGTGACCCAGGCTACGTCAGACCGTTTCTCCTACGGGGAACTATAAAAACCAGATAAGATCAAAATCCAGCTGTTTGCAGGCACTAGAGACCAACCATGGCAGCCAGAACTTGCGGCACAAAGATCTCGGGGAGAAGGGAAATGAATAGTGGTGAGCCAATACCCCGTCACCGTCCCGCACAAGGGTTGGGCATGAGCAGAGAGCCGCGGCTCGGAGTTGGACAGTCTCCCAGGGATGGGCAATAAAAACGAATAAAATGAAATAAAAATGGAGTTTCGGACAACCAAGTCAGCCAAAACCTAGGGGTCCAAGAAACTAGGGTAAAGGGGCTCTCAGGGAGGGGAGGTCTGCACCTCTTCCTTCCCAGGCTTCTGCAGTATTGAAGCTGCACAGGGCCAGAGCTCAGGAGCAGGCCCAGCACAGCAGCTGAGATGCTCACAAGCCAGACTGCGCTGTTGGCAAGCCACAGTGCAGGGGAGACAGAAGTTGGGGGTGAGATCCTGCCAGGAAGAGGCCCGTTTGTAGGTAGGCATCCCAGCTACCCAGCTACCCCTTCAGCAGGGCTGTGCCCTATAAGTAAGGGCACAAAAAATATAGCCACGTAACACTTGACGACATTTCTGTAAAAGCTGGACCACGTACATGACAGCGGCCCTAGTTGTCTGTACCTTATAGCCAAGGTGTGTTGTGGGCTGTGCTCACACTCTGTGACATGTGTGCCACAACAAAATCACCTAAAGACACATTCTCGAAACATCCCATTGTTAAGAGACCCATCCCTACAGCCAGCCATTGTGAATACTAAAATGCAGCTCCAGTGACCGCTGGAACAAGATTATGGGCCTGCCTGTCCCCCAGGAGAAACAGATTTCTCTGTAAGGAAGCATGCCTCCTCCAAGCCTCTATATTTTGACCTCCACAGTGTCCACAGTTACCAGACACACCAGGAGACAGGACTGAATGACCAATGACAGAGAATAGACCATGGGCATAGACTCACCAGCTAGTCAGACGTCACACGGTGTAGCCAGGGGCTTTACAACAACTGATGAATGGTTGCAGGATGACAAGATGCAGGATTTCACCAAAAAACCAGAACTTATGAAATAAGCTCCACTCAGGTGGAAATTCTGGAGCTGACAAATACAATAACTGAAATGAGGAACATAATACAGCTGACCTTGGAAAACACAGGCTTGAAGTGTGTGGATCCACATCTACGTGGACTTTCTTCTGTCTGTGGGTTTGGCATCCATGAATTCCACTGGTATCGGTCGGCCGAATCCCTGGAAGTGGAATCCAAGGCTAAATAAGAGTCACCCGTTGACTTTTGACTATGCCAGTGGGCGGTGCCCATTCCCCGCATCCCCTTGCGTTGTTCAAGCGTCAACTGTGTGTAATTCAGATCAGACACAGCAGAGTTGGGGGTGAGCAGTTCGTATCCATCTCAGGAAGGTGGAAAGATAACTACTTCCAAATCCAGAGGGCGTCTAAGAAAGGGAAACGTGACGACAAGAACAGTTAGTGATGAAATGGAGAACTAGCAAGGGCTACCGGAGGCCTAGGAGGAGGCAGAGGCCTGGGTCTCGGTGCTGGCTTTGCCACCATCCGCTGTGACCTTGGGGAAGCCCCTTGCCTTCTCTGGACCTTGGTTTCCCATTTCAGGAACACAGCCAACAGCATGACCCAGGGGGCTAGGCCAAGAGCTCTGAGGTCATCCCAGCCTCGTGATAACCCCTTCGCCGTCCCGCAGGTTCAGCTGAACAGTCAGAAATCCCCACGGTTCCTTTTTGGTTTCCCAGCACGCGTAACAGTTCCTCCCTCAGAGCCTGGTAGCTGCCATATTCTCCCTGTGCCGGGGGCTTCTCTTGATCAGGGACCACTGAAGTAGAGTGAAGCCTCTTGGAAGAACCCTCTGCTTCTTCTCTGGTCAAGTAATCAGAGTAACACCAGACAGATTAGCAGGAGAGAAAGACCAATTTAATTATGTGCATCCACATCCGGGGACTCTGCATACGCGTGGGGATTCCAGAGCAGAAAGGTAATGTGGGGTCTGTCTCCTGACCTCAGAAACGGGAGGGGGCCCAGGACTTCAAGGGGAAGGGCGGGCCTCACATGGGGAGGACCGATTAGCTTATTAGCTTATTTCTGATAATGACCCTCATCCTAGGTGAGACCCCAGTTGTCATTCTTCTGGGTAGTTAAGGGGGAGGCAAGAGTTTTTCATGAGCCTGCAGGGCCTGGACTGACCTCAGCTGGAAGTAATAGGCACGTCTGGGGTGCGGGGGGCCTGTTCTGATTATCTGTGGGGCCCTTTCTGAACACGTGCCTCCAGCACCCTGCACAGGGAGCTCCCTACCCTCCAGCATGGTGCTGGCGACCTGGGTGGACCGTCACCTGTTGTCTGTGCTAACTTCAGACAGATTCGCCCTGCCCTTCTGCACGCTGACAGGGAGCCCTGTCCTCACCCCGCCCTCTCCTCCTCTTTGTTCAGCAGGGGCGTGGCTGGCCTCCTGCACTGCACTGCGTACTTGGCACAGGCCTATGGCCCGTGGCGTCTTGGCCAGGGTTTCATCTCATGAGCCAGAGTTGGCTGGCGTTCCCCTGGTGCTGCAGACTGCCTCACTTACAGCACAGGGAGGTCACGCATTCCAGGTTTCTTCCCTGGGGCTGGGGAAGGGGTGGAGGGCTGTTCTTGCTTTGGCACTGCAGTTTTTTTTCCAGGACTTTTGAAAGCACTAATTGATAGCAGCCCCAGAGCCTCTGCTGGTAGGTGGGATCCTGGTGGGCTCTGGGACCTCCCCCGGCTTCTGCAGCTCAGCCTTGCCCTCGGTCCCTGCTCTCACCCACCAAGCATCAGCAGAGAACACTACCATCTCTCCCACCGAGCCAGGAAACCCAACCTTGCACCGTGACCGTAAATATGATCCGTCAATAAGGATCAATAGGCATCTGTGTCAGTGAACTTGTCTCTGCCCTTGGCATCGGAATACAGACTCGGCAATGCATTGTGAGCCCTGCTCATTAGAAAGACACCCCTTTGTGAGGAGACCCCGAAACCCCTCCAGCTAGTCTCCATGTCACAGAGAGAAAACTTAGTCTTGACAATGGCATCCCAGAGTCCTGCCCTCTCTCTACCCACCTGCAGGCTTTTTCCTCTCTGACCCATCACCTGCCCTCAACTCCAGCTGTTCGACCTGGTCCAGCCTCTTCTCTCCCAAAAGCAGAGGGTCCTTGAAGATGCCTGGGAACTCTCACCATGGAATCTTCCATGCTGGGACCCGCCTAGCCCCAGGCCTGCACAGCACAGGTGGTGGACACATGGGACAAATGGACAGACAGGTTGGCCGTCCCCAAAAGTGAGCCACATCTGTGCTATTTGCCTCATTTACCAGCTGAAGGAATGGTTCAGAGAGGGTCAGTAATTTGTCCATGGTCACGCAGCGGGTGGCGTGCACGGCTTGATGAGCATCAGAATCGCCTCAGTCTCCACTTTCTTGCCCTGTTCTTTCCTCTGCATTGTCAGCCCTTACCTTTCCCTTCCGTGGTTTCTGTACCCCTTCCTTCCATGCAGGTACCATGAGATAGGGCCGTGACGAGTGAGACAGTGCTCTTCGCCTCCTGAGGCTCTCAGCCCAGCGAGGAAATAGTGAGCGAGTAGTGCAGGCAGGGTGGCTCCAGCGCTGTGGGATCCAGGAAAGGTCCTGACTCAGCCTTCCTGCCGGAAGCTCACCCCAGCTGAACCCTATGGAATGAATAAGAGCCTCCAGGCCCAGCAGGGTGGGATGGGTTTCCGGACCCTGGGGGCAGCCTCAGCAGGAGCCCAGAGGCAGGAGCAACTGAGCCCTGTGGGTCAATCATGTTGTTTCAAGTTACAAGTAATCAGTTTTACATAATAAAGGGGATTTATTCTCTCATGTCACTGAAAAGTCAAGTGTAGGGTGGGCTGCAGGTATGGCTAGGTCAGGGGGTTGACACTACTAGCCGGGCCCTGCTCACCTTCCACCTCTTCCACATGAAATAGCAGAGCGGCCATCATGACCCCGGCTTTCACTTCCAAATGAAAACCCTGCCAGAACAACGGATTGTTTCTTCTCTCCCTGCATTAATCTGGGGTTTTATTCTGATGACTGTATTAGGACTCATACCCGCCCCTGGACATATTACTGTGGTAAGAGTGGTGGGATCCCCCACTGACCAAGTTCAATTCCAGCTTGCCCTCGAAGATCAGCAGGCTCATCTAGCCCCACGGCAGAGCTCACGTGATGCAGGCCAGGGAGGCAGCTGGAAGGGTGAGCTGGAAACTTCCAGCTCTGAGCTCAAGCCCTGCATACTCCAAACACACGCTGAGCGGAGGTTCCTAGGAAGGTGCTGTGCATTTAATCTGGTTTAGGGGTTGCCTCTCTTTCTACCTAAAGATCATCAACCTCCCTTCAGCTATCACTTTCTTGGGAAAAATAAATCCTGGTTGCTGTGATTTACACATTGAGGCTGGGTGGGGGGGAAAGGTGAGGGGGTGAGGGAGGCTCTCCAAGCAGGTGCTGAGGTGTGACCACACAGCCTTCAACAGAGGGCCTGGGGGTCAGGAAGGCTAGGGAGGTGTGCTCTGGGCATTCTGTACACCCCCTCGAGTGCGTGCAGCTGAAGCCAGTTAGAAACAGGGCGTCCCTCCAGAACAGAGCCCCCACCCCCAATTCCTGGCCCCCCACCCCTCCAGGTACATGGGATCTATGGGCTGTGCACTTAGATTCAGTCCAGCTTCGTCCTTTCCTCATGACCTTGGGCAAGTCATTTAATCTCACTGAATCTCAGTTTCTTCCAAGAACAAAATGGGAAACCCCAGCCAGCTGGTGGTAGACTTTGAGGACTGTCTGAGGAAACAGACGTGAATGGATGTGCCATCATGCCTGGCTCTGACTGGATATTCAGTCACATTGAAAAGGGAAAATAAGTTCTAGCATTTGCCCAATAGATACCAGAAACTCAGCATATGCCATATCATCTTCATAACCAGGCTGGAGGTGGCCCTATTATCATCTCATTTTACAGAAAGGGAAACTGAGGGCCTAGGAGATTGAATAACTTTCCCAAGGCCATACAGCTGCGGGCACCTGACCCTGGGCATCTAAAGCCCACTTTACGGGGCTGAGTCGAACTGGCAGAACCTGAATGTCAGGATGGGGTGCCCTGTGCCACCCCCACACATTCTGTTTTCATTGTTGGAATCCAGAAGAGAGGGAAGGAGACAGACAGGAGCTTGCAGTTTGTCGTCTCTGTGTGAATTCCATGGCATCCTTGACTCACTTTACAAACTTTCTTTGGATGCTCACTGGACGAGGTTCTGGTTGTCGAAAAGAGGGATGGGGCACCCCATGCCCCTGGGCAGCCTCGCAGGACAGTGGTGCCCTCCGCATTGCCCACACGCTCACCCCCAGGCTCGAGAGGGTGAATGATTCGGGGTGACGTGGCACCAGAGGCGAGGTTCACGGGTGCCATCCTGGCGGAGGTGGGGAGAGAGAAGTCATTGTTTACAACAGGCTAATCGGACCCTCCTGTCTTCTCGCTCCTTCCCTGTGCAGATGACAGACAAGCCGCAGTGCCTTGCTCCAGCCAGCTGCGTAACCACCGCGCCTCCGTCCGCAGTGGGGCCAGACCGCGTTCTAATTAGGGATCGTCACACACCGTCCTTTCCGGAAGACGCTGGAAAGACCACATCGCTTTGCCCTGCGCCACGACCTGTCCTTCGAGGTCCTCACCCCCAAGGGACCCTGCCTGTCATAAAGATTAATCAGCCTCCATCCCTGTGGATGGGAAAGGAAATCACTGTTATTAAGTTTGATTAAAACCTCATCAAGACACATTATCAGCTGTTTAAGGATTGCTGACAGAGAAAGCTCTTTTATTTCCCCAAAAAGGACAATTATGCAAAAAGATCCAGCCCGCATAGCCTTTGACCATCACATGGGGATGTCCAGCAGGCTGGCTGGGGCTCAGCAGCAGTGAGGTCGGCCCCCGCCCCCCAGGAATTCCCACCTTGCTTGTGATCTAAGCCTCAGTTCTAGACATTTTCTTCCAAATTCTTCCTCAGTTAGGACGAATTTCCCCCAGCTCAGCCCCAGGAGGTCCCCATCAGGCAAGCAGAAGTGGCAGCCATGAGGAGGAGTGTCCTCAAAGTCCTCACCCTCCTGGTCTTCTTGATCTTCCTCACTTCCTTCTTCCTGAACTTCTCCCACACCATGGTGACCACCGCCTGGTCCCCGAAGCAGATGGTCATGGAGCTCTCCAAGAACTTCAAGAAGCTCATGAAGTACCCGCACAGGCCCTGCAGCTGCGTCCGCTGTGTCGGGCAGCGGCAGGTCTCCCCCTGGTTCGACGAGAGGTTCAACGCGTCCATGCAGCCGCTTCTGACGGAGCAGAACGCCATCTTGGAGGAAGACACCTTCAGGTGGTGGCTGGTGAGAGCCGGGGTTGGGGGGCAGGGGTGGAGGGACCGGGGGACGGGGCTCCCACAGCCAAATGCTCAGCCCCCACCTGGGGCTCTGCTGGCGCTTAGCAGGACTCAGAACCTCGGCTGTGGTCATTCACTCCTGCGGCGACTGCGCTGGGCGAGGACTGCAGGTTCGCCTGGTCCTATCGTGCCTGGCTTCGGTGCGCTTCACCTTCCTGCGTGTTTGACAAATTGGAGGTTTGTGGCCCGCCTGCAGGCAGCGGGCCTCTAGGTGCTTTTTTTCCTCCAATGGCACATGCTTGCTTTGAGAGACTGTCACATGTAACCGGGGTCTGTGCACTGTTGTCTAGACACAGGCTGCCGCAGGCCTCCAGGCTAGAGGGGAGGAACGGAGCATTCAGGTGCAGGGGAAGCCAGAGCCATCGTGTGACTCGCTTCATCTCCACCCTCCCGTTATCGCGTTTGTCCTGGCTGAGACTGGCCCGTGTGCAGAGCCAGAGCGGAGGGCTGGGGCTAGTTTCTGTGATCGCCAGGCCCAGCAAAACCGCGAACCCACAGAGCTGCCAAGATAAGGCAGCAGAAGAATGCACCTCTGCAGGCCCGGAGACTGAAGTCCAGATAAGAATGAGCAGACCCTGGGGGAGAGCCTGGCCGGGGGCCCTGGGCCTCTGATGTCCGCTGCAATCCTTTGAGTCCTATAGACGGCGCCGTACGTCCCTGCCTGCGTGTCCACATGGCCCCTGCCGCGTGTGCCCCGCGCCTCAGCTCCCTCTCTGCCTTGCTTGGCAAGGCCGCTGCTGCCCAGTTAGGTGAATCCCAGATCACCGCACCTGGTGACTCAGAGCGAGGCCACACACAGCGGGTGTTCAGTGCTGCAGCCTCGCTCCGTGGGCGCATCCTTATTCGCCTCTGCCGTACCTGCTTTGTAGATGAAGCTTACTCACCGGCCCCTAGCACAGGAGCAGCGCGGCATGCACACAGGGGCGCTACTGCTGGGGCTCCAGGGTCCCCTCGGGGTTTGGAACCTCTCTCCCTGCAGATAAGGGGGGACACTGTATTCCCCTCCAAGGAAGAAGGGCCGCAGTGTGGGGTCCCCGGCCTGTCTACCAGCTGCGAGGGGTGACTTAGGGTTCTAATCTGCAGAATCCCAGTGGTTCCCCCAACCAGCTCTGCCCCCTGCTGTTGATAGGCAGGTCTCCAGCTCACCCTGTGGCCTAGGCCCCTTCTCCCCTCCTGAGCCCTCCCTTATGCCCACAAACGACTGGGATCCTCAAGAATTGCCCGGCACCCTGGGCAGCAGGGTGACCCAGGAGACTCCAGGGCCAGGCTTTCGAGAACTTCTCATGGAGAAGGCAGCAGGCCGGCCTATGTCTCTATCTGGCTTTGCGGGAAAGAACTTTAATTTGGCAGCTGTTCCTTTAGGCACCCTTGGCACCTCGCGCACCTGCCAGTCTCCTCTGACAGCGGCGGCTTGCCTGGGCAGGCACTGGGGCCCGGTGGCATCAAATGTCACTGTTTTGTTTTCATTACATCTTACAATTACTTTCTTACTCCTGCCAAGTAATCCTGGCCTGGCGCTGTGGCAGAGATGCGAGGTTTCCTTTTAAATAAGACATGCTTTTTTCCTCATGCGGCCAGGAGGGACCAGGCCTTGTCATTCGTGGGTGCTCAGTGAACATGGATGAGCAATGGGTTCAAGAATGCCGTGTCAGGCCTTCTGGCAGGGCGTGCCTCAGCTCATGACATGGTGTGAGGCTCCCTGGTAGAGGGGAGACTGTGTCCCAAGGGCAGGGCTGCAGGGTTAGGGTGCACTGCCCCCCGCCCCCCGGACCCCAGGGCTTCTCAGAGATCAACCCCCTACCCACAGCCACATTGGGAAGGCTGTCAGAGGGGCAGGGTCTGGGGTGCAGCCTAGCACCCCACCGAGGCAGGCTGCAGTCGGCCTGGAGCTGCCTGCGTGATCCTGTGAGAGCAGGTGTTTGATCTGGGGAGTGTTTTTTATTTCCCTGTGGTTAAATATGCGTAACATAATATTTGTCACCTTAACCATTTAGAAGCTCTCAAGCATTAAATGCAGACACGGTGTCGTGTGACCAACATTATTGTCAATGCTCAGCAAAACCCCGAACCCACAATACACACATCCTCCCCCTGCCCCTGTCCCCAGCGGCTGCACAGCCCTTCCCCTGTCTGCCTCCATGAAGCCATCGCCCTGACCCCTGGCCAGCGGCAGCTGCCTGTGTGTCCTTGTGTGTCTGCTGAGTTCACAGCAGAGTGTCCGAGCCCAGCCACGTCCTTCACGCGACAGGCCAGTGGGTGTTTATGACTTGGTGTCTCCCCTTCGGAGGTGGCTGGACACTCGGGTCAGCTGCTGTGAACTTGAAAGCACACACTTCTGTGGGGACCCCCCTGTCAGTTCTTTGGGGTCTATTCAGTAATAGAATTGCTGATCACAGGAGAGCGCTGTGTTTGGGAAACTGCCGGACTGTTTTCCCATCAGCTGTCCCATTTGACTTTGCCACCAGCCAAGCACAAGGACTTGGTTTCCTTTTCCTCATCAACTTGTAATTTTTTTTTATTATAACCATCCTGGTGTATAGCATGCCCCCCAACTCCCTGCTCCCCCAGAACCCGCAGAGTGTCCTGTGCTAGAGGGGAGGCCAGACGGCCTAGAAGAGCCCCCTGGCCTCCTGGGGTGCCTCTCCTTTAGAGAACCTGATGTGGCAGCACCCCAGGTGGGGGCCGGGTGCCCCAGGATCTCCCTCTGCCCCCACGCCTGGCACTGATCTCTGGACTGTGGCCAAGCAGCCTCTAGCCTCTTCTTTCCCTCCCAGGCCCTCCTTGTACCTGAGTCTCTAAGTGGCTGCGGGGACTCATCCCACGGCCCCTCCCCGACTTGCAGCTCCAGAGACCAGGCTCCATGCAGTCCAGGTGCCCAGGGTGGGCGGCCAGTGTGGTGGGTGAGACTTTCAAGCAGTTTCAGAAACCCCGGGCTCAAGTCCAGGCTTGTGTTCCGACACACGGCGTCCTTCCGTGGCCACAGCTGAAACGACACACACCAGAAGCTCGGGAGCAGCTGGGCCCGCCTAGGAGACCCCCCCAAGGTCCCACTGGGCGAGCAAGGCGGGTGCTTCCCCAGGCGCTCGCCGGTATTTTGCCTGGCGCCATGAGCAACAATGGGCGTGGGGGGTGGTGAGGGCATCAGACAGTGACCAGCTCGTCCCCGTCTCTGTGCTCGGGGTCCTGCATCCAGGGAAAGCTTGTCCTGACTGGCCACCCTCAGGGGAAAACCAGTGTTGGCCCCCAGTCTTCGCCTCTGCCCGGGGTCAGGGAGATCCTGGGGCAGCCTTCACGCTGGGACTTAGAAGTCCAGACAGCTGGACTTAGCTGTCGCCAGACAGACGTGGGAGGCTGCAAGGCCCTGGCATAGGGTCTGGCTGGAGCCCAGTAGCCCGGGGGCTGGGGCATCCGAGGGGTGGGAGGGGAGGAGCAGAAGCAGGAGAGGTGGGCACAGCGTGCCCCTAGCATCCCCCTCTGTGCCTCTCTCCTATCAGCCAGTGTCTCGCCTCAAAGAGCCGGCACATTGTAGGTGCTTGCAGACGTGTGCAGAGTGCACGAATGACCAGCTTTGCTCCCCACCTGCCTGAGGGGACCTTGGCTGTTCAGGCCTAAAGAGAGGGGGTTGTGGGGAAGCTCGAGGCCACTGTGAAGCAGCTCCGTGCCCCCCACCAGAAGTGGTTCGGCCAGGCTGACCTGCCCCCCGTCCATTGCCCACAGAGGCTCCAGGGGGAGAAGCACCCCAGCAACCTGAATGACACCATCAAGGAGCTGTTCCAGGTGGTCCCGGGGAACGTGGACCCCCTGCTGGAGAAGAGGTCGGTGGGCTGCCGCCGCTGTGCCGTGGTGGGCAACTCGGGCAACCTGCAGAACTCCTGGTACGGCTCCCAGATAGACCGGCACGACTTCGTGCTCAGGTGAGTGCGGCCCCGTCGCGGCTGGCGGGGTAGGGCCAGGTGGAGCCAAAACATCGAGACCCCAGCTACGGTGTGCCAGGCTCACCCGGGACCCCAGGCCCAGCCCAGCCCCTGGCCTCAGCGTCCCCATTTGTGCCCTGCAGGATTAGAAGCGCCTCTCTGGACTCTGAGAGCAAACCCTTGGCAAGAGGAGCCAGTGACCCGCAGGGCTTGACAGGGCAGGCCTGGCAGGAGGGCAGGGTTTGCTCGAACTCTCGTGCCCAGTCCTCAGCCATCGTATAAATATCTGCTTGTAGCGTAAGATGTGTCCCCCGTCACCAACTAAGACGGCCTGTGTCCGCCCAGCTCCCCGTGACCCCACCACATAGCCCACTCTGCCCAGGGACACAGTGCCCAGAGAAGTGCGGGTGGTTGTGGGGCTGCCGATGCCTGGGAACCTACTAGAATAGCCTCCTGTTCTGTGATCTCTGACTTGTCTTGGACCCCTCAGCTGGCCTCCCAGAGGCCACGTCTGCTGTGCATGGGGCAGGGGAGCCGGGTCAGGGTGAGGCAGACCTGAGTTTCGTGGTCGGATGAAATAGTCCCACCCAGGCCCACTGGCAGGCCGTCTGCCTGGTGTGAGGGGGTGTTGCGAGGGCCACGCACGACATGTCATCGTTAAAGAACACGAAGGAGAAACAAAAACAGCCTCTGAGCTGTGGCTTCTTCATGTCCATTTGATGGGGAGGTCGTGGGGCCCAGCAATACTGACCCCCAGCACTGGGGCCCGTGGGGTACTCAACCATCTTTCTCTCCTGCCCGCACAGGATGAACAAGGCCCCGACGGCAGGGTTTGAGGACCATGTCGGGAGCAAGACCACCCACCACTTCGTGTACCCCGAGAGCTTCAGGGAGCTGGGGGAGAATGTCAGCATGGTCCTGGTGCCCTTCAAGACCACTGACCTGGAGTGGGTGGTCAGTGCCACCACCACAGGCACCATCACCTTGTGAGTCCCCTCGGGGTGTCTGAACAGAGGGTCAGGCCCCCCACCACGCTGTCTGCCTACTGAGCACCTCCCTCCCGAGCTTCCTCCAGAGGTGCCCAGGGAAGCCCGCTAGTCTCCAGCCCCCTCCCCACCCTGCAGCTCCTCCTGGGCTTCGCCCGCATCACACTCAACACACCTGAGCCTCAGCCTTCCCCCTAAGGGTGCTGGAGGAACCCTACCTACAGCGCCACTTCCCCAAACACCCCGGAAACTCCAGGGGAGAGGGACTCAGCACATGTTAGTGAAGTTCTGACCCCCCCTAACTCTGCAGTTTGCCTGAAGAGGACAGCACCCTGTTTTTCAAACTGTAAAAATGGCCCTGGAATTGGGGGCAGAATTTTTAGCAGGTCAGCCCCACCTGACCTGCTTTTCCAGCGCCGCCTGGAAAGTAGGGAACTCCCCGCTGAGCCGCCCTCTGGCTCCCGCGGCCGTGGGTCCTGGCACATGTCTGCTCGCTGAATTCTCGCCTTGTCCCCCAGCTGCCTCTGTTCTCCCGGCGGGGACACTGAGGCAGGAGCACCTGTCCCAGGCTGAGCAACCCACCCGCTCTGGTGTCCCGGCAGCTTCCTAAGCCCCGTCCTCTTGCTGCAGAGACATGGCTTCAAAAGCCACCATGTCTGGGTCCAGGTTAGGAAGCCTGAGGAATTGAGGTGCAGGAAGGTGGGGGGCTACACTCTCAGGAGGCCAGCATGGGAAGCAGCTTGGGAGAGAGCCCACCAAGCAGGTCCCAGAGGCCTCAAGAACACAATTACCCCAGTTCCATCCCACGTGAGGCCTGGAGGCTTTTATACCTGCACCTGGGGGGCACGTTTCACCTCCACACAGAGCAAGGGGTCAGGATAGGGCTTCATCAGTCAGCCCCCCAGGGGGTGACGCCTCTGCACTTGGTGTGTGGGCAGTCTGGATGAAGAAAGAAAGACCTTCTTTCCCTTCCTGGGCTCAAAGCAGCAGAACCAGCTCGCATTAGTCAAGTGCACCCTCTGGTGTCGGTGCTGGGATACTGCTGCAGAGGCGGGAGAGCTGCCCAGCTCAGGCTGCCTTCCCCACGCTCCCCTCTCTGCCTGTTCTCGCCAGGCTGCCTGCAAGGAGCCTCCTCCCCACTAACTGCCTCCCTCTCTCCTCCTGCAGCACCTATGTCCCCGTCCCCAAGAAGATCAAAGTGAAAAAGAATAAGGTGAGTGGGGGGCAGGGGGTGCTTAGGCCCGTCCTTGAGTTCAGGCCCCTTTGAAGGCCCCGTGCTGTGATGGAACCCCACCTCTCTGCCCCCGCCAGCATCTGGCTGCAGCGAGCCCCTGGGCCCAGGTTGGTGGCGGTAGCAGCCCCCGCTTGACTGCCCTGCTGGAGAGAGGTCAAGCCCTGGGGTAGTTTTCCAAATGGAGGCCCCAGGCCCACAGCAGCCCCTGGTGCTCGTCACAGATGGCAAGCCTCAGCCCACCCTTCTCCCCCTGGACCTATGAACCAAACCCATGGGATTTTTCAAGTCTGACTGAGGTCCTGATATGGCTGCAGTTCTAGAACCACTGCTCTTCAACCTGAGTGTCTTGAAACTTCTCACCCTATCTCCATATCTCCACCCTCCCCAGCAGGCCCCTGGATGGGATCAGCTGGGACACAGGCAAAGGGCAAAAGGACGCAAAAAGTGTCTCGACCAGGCCGTCCTTTGTACCCACTCTCATACCTCAGTCCTCTGCAGACAGTGAAATACTATTCAGCTGTGTAAGGTGAAATCCTGCCACTTGTGACAACATGGATGGAACTTGAGGGGATTCTGCGAAGCAAAATTAGTCAGAAGGAGAAAGACAAATGCAGGCTCGTTTCTCTGTTCCACACAGAAGTGAAACCATCTGATTGGAGTCAGAGAGGTCAATCATTTGCCCAAAGTCACACAGCAGGTCTAGAACCCGAGCCCTCCCTTTATCTTCGGCCCTGGTCCTTTGCGCCTTCATTGGTTCTAGAGTGTAGCGTGGAGCTGGTGGAAGGGAGAGCCGCAAGATGACAGAGCCTTGAGGCCAGGCTGAGAGATTAGATTGCTGACAGAGCCCTGTCTAATCCACCTTTCAGGCCTTCTTAGGGGCTGGCCTTACGCCCCTGCACATGCATTACCTCTACCTGAGAAGCCGCTTCCTCTCCCCAAGGCAGCCAAGGGACCGGATTGCCCAGTGCTGTGTGACACTGAGCAAGTTGCTTGGCCTCGCTGAGCCTGTTTATCATGGTATGAGGAGAGAGATACTGCACACTGGTCATTTAAGGACTGGAGATCCCTCAGCCAGATCAGGCTGAAAGGTGATAGGCATGTCCTTGTCCCCACCTAATCTCCCCTTTTGCCCCCTGGAACCTCCCCTGTGGCCTCACCTGTCCCTCCCTGGCCCATTATTATTCAGATGTCACTATTTTTTTTTTTTTTAGTTATTTATTTTATTGAAGTAACATTGGTTTTTAACACTGTGTGATTTAGGGGTGCACATTCATACCTCCTCAGATGTGTGTCACCACGCTAGCTACACCCTCCACCAAGCCGCCCACAGTCCTCTACCATAGACCAGTGCACCCTTTCCATTTTGCTGTCCCTTTGGGGGACAGTTCTTCAGTTAGATTTTTAGATTTTGTCATTGGTTTGGTTCTGACCGCCCCTTTGTTCTGTTTCTCTCTGTTCCACATGTAAGTGAAACCATCCCGTAGTTGTCTTTCTCGTTCTGACTTACCTTGCTTCACAGAATCCCCTCCAGTTCCACCCATGTTGTCACAAGTGGCAGGATTTCACCTCTACTTTACACAGCTGTGTAGTATTCCATTGCATCCTCGTGCCACATCTCCTAGAGCCATCCACGGGGGCTCCTTCCATAGCTTGGCCTTTGGGACTAGCTCTGCGGCTCCACTCTGTGGAGAGTGTCTGTCCTTTGAATCAGTGCTTCGGCATTTTGGGGCCAATACCAAGGAGAGGAATTACCGGATCACTTCTCAGGAGCCTCCTTGCCCAGGGCTCTCTCGCCTCCTGCTGCTTCATTTATCTTCTAGCATCTTCTGTCTTTCCATGATCAGGTCCCTGTCTCCCCACCAGAGCCAGTGCAGGGCTGTCTGTCTGTGGTTCACGGCTGTGCCCCACCGGGGTGGGGTGTCCTTCCCAGCCGCCTCACAGGCTCTCCTCCCGCAGATCCTGATATACCACCCAGCCTTCATCAAGTACGTCTTCGACAGCTGGCTGCAGGGCCACGGCCGGTACCCGTCCACCGGCATCCTGTCCATCATCTTCTCGCTGCATGTCTGTGATGAGGTACGTGCCTCCCTGGTGCCCCCCAGCCACCCCGAGGAATGGGGTTCACAGAGCAGCCTTCCTGGGTGGTCCACCCCCGCCAGCCAGCTGCTGGGTTCTCACCTCTGCTCTTCCCCAGGTGGACTTATACGGCTTCGGGGCCGACAGCAAAGGGAACTGGCACCACTACTGGGAGTACAATCCTTCGGCTGGGGCTTTTCGAAAAACTGGGGTGCACGATGGAGACTTTGAGCACAACGTGACGGCCACCTTGGCCTCCATCCGCAAAATCCGCATATTCAAGGGGAGATGATGCCGCGCGGCTCCAGGACTGGTACCCCAGAGTGCGCCTCTTCACGACCAGCCTCAGCTTCTCACTGGAAGCCTCTTTCCGGGAGCTTCGAGGGTCAGCCTCGGGGGTGCGTCCGGATGCGCCCGCAGCCTCTTGCGTCCCGACATTGGGCAGTATCTACCCAACCAGGGCCAGAGTCCCGCCGGGCTGCCGAGCCAGTCTCAGAACTGGCCTTGGGTGGGGAGCACGCTCCGCTGCGGCCCCAGGACTGGTGGAAGGTGGGGAGTGGGGGGAGCCGTCTGCTCTTCAAACACAGCGTTTCACTGCAGCCTCGGGAGCTTCGGCAGGCAGATCCTGAAGACGCGGTGTTCCGAAGGGCAGGCTGCTCTGCCAGGGAAGATGGGCTGGGCCTCTCCTCCGCTGAGGGCTGACGCACACCCCATCCTCGCTGGCATCTCCCCGAGCGAGGGTCCTCCGGGACAGAGCCACGGGGGCACTGGGGGCGAGAGGCCTCCCGTCTTTGCACGGCGCCTGCCCTCCCTCCCACTCGCTGCGGCAACCCCTTTTCCCATTCTCCCCCAATTCGCCTCTGGTTGCCAGGAGCAGCTCCCCAGCCCAAGTCGGCACAGACCCTGGCCAAGGTGCTCTGACTCCGCCATGAGTTCCTCCCGGCGGCCCCCGAGCAGCTGATCTCGGTGATGATGAGGATGGTGACGGCGGAGCAGCCCTCACTGTCCATGTGCCTTTGCGCGGGGGAGCAGCACGGGCACTGGCGTGAAGGAGGCCGAGATCCCCGGCCGGAAGGGGGCCCGCCCTGCCCGCAGCCAGCCTCCTGGGCCTGCTCTCGGCTGGAACAAAGCCCGGCTGCCGCTCTGCACCACCCGGGCCACTTCAGCCGTGGAACGTCTGCCCTTTGCGTCCCAGACGGTGGGATCCGAGCCCCCGGCCCTCCAGGGCCTCCCAGCAGCCGTCCTGCCCTCTTCTTCCCTCCCGGGGTCTCCAGAGCGGTCGGGCTCCAGGTCCAGTTCCCTGCTGGCCACCTGCCTGGTGTCGGGGTCGGGCCGTCGACAGGGCGTGGCCAGCAGAGCAGAAGGCCCCCACCCCCTCTTGCTCCCCAGCTCTTTCTTCCTTCCTCCCAACCTTCTTGATTATTTATTGATTTTTTTTTTTTAATTCAACTGACACTGAGTGCACTTTGTCTCTCAGTGGTGGTCCGGGGATCTTCCCTGCTCTTCCTCTTGCTTCACCGGCAGCTAGGGAGTGGGGAGCTTCCAACAAGCTTCACAGGGCCCCCCAGACTTGGGATTTTGGGTTCCTGAGGGCTTGGGGCTCACACAGGCACATCTGGGGGTGTCTGGCTGGTGGGTTTATGGAATGTTCTCTACCTCCTTCCCGCCCAGCCCCACCTTCCTTCTTGCTCATTGTGGTCTTGGATTTAGTTTCAGGGGAGGAATCTCAAAAACTCAGGGGTACCGTCTTGGGGAGGGGTGGGAGTAGAGTCACAGGCATAGGATGAGAGATAATGGCTCCAGTTCCTGACGTTTAATCAGAAAAACCACTTTTCCCATTGGAGGGCATTTCCTAAGAGGCCACCGCTGCTTTGGGAGGGGCATGCCAGGTTCCTGCGGGGTATGAAGCATTGGTCTCTTCCACCTCAGGGCCTGCTTCCTCTGCTGGGCAAGTGCAACTTTCCCAGCCTCAGCTTCTCCCTTCGACCAATGGGAGAGAGGAATTGGGGAGCTCAGCATCGTAGAAATTGCATACTGTTTGTTTTTTGCCCTTGAGTTTGTGCAAATGAGCATTTTCCTGGGGAGAGTTCCTATAGCTTTTATTAGATTCTCAGAAAGTGTTAACAAAGAAAAGAAAACAACTCATTCCAGCTTTAAAATGTTCCTCCAAAACTTAAGAACATCTTGCTTGATAAAGTCCCACAAGTAGCTGTGAGGTCTTCAGTCCCAACATGAACCCTCAGTCCTGCACTCAGAGCTGGGTACTCATGCCAGGAGCCCGGCAGGGTCTGCCAGTCACCCGGTGGGCCCCAGGGGCCAAGCTGGGGTCCCAGAGCCAGGACACATCTATCTTCAAGGCTGGGCTGTGCGCCCGGTCCCTCCCCCTGCAGCCAGGCTGCTCCAGCTGGGAGATGCCTCTCATTCCGGGACTCACATCCCACTGCACAGATGAGAAAAGCAAGACCCAGACAGGGATGGGTCTTCCAGCGATTGACCCAGCATTCTCGTGCCCCTGGTGGGCATCTGGTTGGTGGTGAACAGGGCCACGGGCAGGCCGCCATCCTCTGTGGGCTGGGCTAGCAGGAGACAATCAGCTCTCCTCTTGTTGAAGTCACAATTCTTCCTAGCTCTAGAGGCTGCAGAGAAAAGCAGGGATCCTTGCGGGGGGGGGGGGGCACAGAGACAGGCCAAGCGGCCCTCACAGTCAGTCAGCATCAGGCATTTGCATCTGTGCTCCTGACCAAATGTGTTTCCTGCAGGCGGCAAGCTGGCTGCTGGCCCCAGGGAGCTCCTAGCCCCGAGTGGCCTCTGACCGCTTGCCCTCCCAGCCCATCCGGAATCTGGACTCCTCTTGAGCTGGACTTCCCAGGCGGGCAGGGCTTGGCCACCTTCCCCGGCTGTGCTCTGACCCTCGCCCCAGGGGTCGTCGCTTCGGCACTTCACAGAACTCACTCAAAGCCAAAGTTCCCCAGCACTGTCCCTCCTCCTCGGTCCTGCTTGTTTGTCGTTGGTGTTTCAGTTTGCTTTCCCGCCCCGTGTTCAGTGGTGTGTTCACTGGGATGTGATTTGAATGGAGCTTGCAAGCATCTCCCCTCCCCGGCCTCTGCTCTGTATTATTTATTGTCGATCATTGCCAATGAGCCCGATCAAGTGAATTAAAAAAGCTATTTTATCATTCGGGTGTTTGTCCTTTATCCACAAGGGCCCTGGGTGTCCACTCCCGCTGTGTCCACTCGGGAGAGCTGAGTGTGGTGACCCCCCGCCCCGTCTCACACGCCGTCATCCATGTTTTCCTCGTAGGCTCCCGCGGTCTCCCCTTCCCTTCCTTTCATCCTTGTTGTTAATTTCCGTTGTGAACTTGAGCTTCTCTGTAAAGCTGGGGCGATGACCGTTCTGCGGGCCTCCCAGGACCCCGGCAAGCACCAGCGTCCTCTGCACGTACGTGTGTCTCTATTGACCCATCTGTGCTGAGGCCCCTGGGTGTGGGGGTGCAGATCTGGGCAAGCCAAGGTCTCTCGCAGCAGAGCCACCCTCTAACGGGGGCCAGGCCGGCAGCCAGTGGCAACGTCCAGCAGAGGGGAGGTCTTCAAGGAAGACCTTTTCAGCCCAGGCCCCTCGGCCTGCGTTCATCTCATTAATCCTTCAACGACCCTGCCTGCCTGCCGTGGGGCACCATTCTGCTGGAGGAGAATCCAACCAGGTGAGTCTCCAGGGATGAATGACTTGATGGGAAGGATGTTTGTAGCCAGGATTTCAAAAGTCAGGTGCAGAGTTCAAGAGTCCTAGGTAATGGTTGTAAATGCTCTGTCCCTCAAAAGAATTTGGGGGCGGGGGCTCAGTCTTACCCCAAAACCCAAATACTTTGTTGGTGAGCCCACAGCACTGGCTGGAAATGGCAGAGCAGCCCTGCTCGGGGCCCCCAGCGTGCCCAAAGTTCATCTGCCCTTGACCTCCAGGAGAGCCTGGCCTGCTGCACGGGGCCGTGGCCAGCAGAGGGCGCAGTGGACCCGCCTGCTGCAAGAATCCTCCCGGCAGGGTTTGGTTGGCACCCAGAAGGAATTTGGAACCACGTGAGAACACACACGTGTCAAGTCAGGACTTAAAAAGACATGACATTAGCAGTTACCAAGTCGATCTGCTAATGTCATGGAGAGCTCTGCCTCCCCCGGCAAGTCTGGGTCCGGCTGGAAACAGTCACAAGCCCAAGCAGGCAGGAGTGGACTGGCTGGGGAGTTCCCCATCCGCCCTGCCCGGCCGCCCCCCTCAGACCTGGGATTTCACCCGCAACCTCCCACCCCAGACCTCCTCCGTGACCCGTCAGCTCAGTGATCACCAGGGAAAATCTGGCCTCTTAGAACCTTAGTTTCTTAACCTGCGAACAGGTCTTAAATGACAGGCAGCTTTCTTCATGCCGGGCAGCCCCCGTAGGGTTTCAAGCTCCCTGTCCCCGCCTGGGGCTCTGGTATTGGGACTGATTTGCTTGTGGCCACCCACGCCACAGGGATCGGGATTCCACAGGGATCTGACGCCATCACTGGGCTGGGACAGGCTGATGCTGCAGTGATAAATATGCACCCCCCACTAACCCCACGACTCAAAAAAAACAAAGGCTGGTTTCTGGGGTGTCAGTCTCATGTCCTTTGCGGGTCCCCTGCCTGGCCCTCCACGGGCTGGCTTGGCCTCCCAGCTACGTGCATTTTGCAGCGCAGCCCACTTCAGCTTCACGGTCACTGCACAAGGGGCAGGGAGTGCAGACAGTCTCCACCTCTGAGGCATCTCCCCTGGGGTCGGGGCCGTCACCCCTCCGTCTCTAGCAGCCGGAACTGCCCATATGGCCCAAACAAGGGTGCAAGGGGCTGGGGGCACTGTGGAGCCCTGTCTCCCCCATGCCTCCCCCTGATGCCCAGCCCAGTCCCGTCGCGCTCTTCTGCCCCTCGGCTTGATCAGCTCGTTCACAGAACTTCATCCCTTCTTCCTCTAAGACGCCTTCCCTGGGGCTCAGAGGTCTTTGAACACATCCCCAGCTTCCCCATTACCCGTTGGGGTCCTCTCCTTCCTCATCCATCTCTAACCTTGGGCTGGGATCCCCGAGACCAAGGCCCACTACGTCCCCAGAGCTGAAGGTGCTGGACACAAGGACACTCAAGCAATGTCAGAGGTAAGTATCGAGCCAGCGCCTGCGTCAGTGCTGTGCTGGGGCTCCAGAAACACCTCTGATCGCCATGGCAACCAAGGGCACCCTGAGCCTCTCCCTGAGGTGATGGTGGAGGAAAGCTAAGGCCTGGGGGTGACAAACAGAGCAAAAGTTGTGCCCTGAGCTCTGTGTGCCTGACCCCAGCCTCTCCCGATGCTCACAGCCTCCCCAGCCCAGTGAAGGATCTCCTCCACCACCCACCACCGCTTAACGCCCCTGGGAGAGTCCCTCTCCCAACCCCGGTCTTCAGTCCGACCGTGTAAACTGCAGTCCTGCCACCACAGCTGCTGGGGGTCCCCTGTCTCGTCTCCCCTGGGCTAGCTTGGGGTTCTGGGGCCTCAGCCCTCCACCTGCTCCTTCTTGAGGTGAAGGGACCTTACTCCTGTCAGACTGCAAGGGTGGGTGAGGGTACACTGGTCCTTGGTTTGAAGCCCTCTGCACACAGCGCCGGTGCCTGCGAGCGCCCTCTGTGGCGGTGCTGGGGATGGCAGGGGCGGGAGGAATCAGTCTGCAGCATCACGCTCATCTCATCTGCCCAGCTGGCCAAAGGCACACGGTGGCCATGGCTGGGCAGGGATGGGGTGCCTCTGCCGGACCTCAGCTCCAGGCCTCTTCCTGCAGTGTCCGCCAGGGGACGGCAGGCTGGCCAGCATCGCTTCCCCATGCAGCCACCTGTGACGGGACCTGGAATCTAGGGAGCAGGATGCCCATGGAACTTGGCGAGCATTAGCCCGCCCAGCAGAGGGGCAGGCAGCCTTCAGGGGACTCCACCCACCCCTGCCTGTGAGAGTGGTGGGATGCACCAGAGTGCATGGACAGCAGAGGATCAGCTGAGAAGGGGGTCAGATCCTGCACCCACCAACTGCCTCCATGTGCACCACCTCGGTCTTTCCTGCAGTCTCCTGGCATCAGTGGCCTGGGTCTGGCACTAGCCTGGGGACATGGATGTTCAAAAAAAACCTGGGGGCAGTGACCACATTTATTCATTCCTTCAAGTGTTCTGAGAGCAGGGCACTGAGACAGCCGTGCACCTTCCTTTAGGTGATTTTCTAGTTTTCCTGGCAGCCATCAGAAGACAGTGGGACCAGAGATACACAGAGTTCCAGGGACCCCGGACCGGAATAAGCTGGGTAAGGGAAGTCAAGGAGGACTTCCTGGAGGAAGAGCTCAGGAAGGTCGGTCAGCCAAGCAGAGGGAAGAGGAGGTGCAAAGGCCTGGAGGTGAGTGAGAACATGGCACAGTGACGAAGTGGATGATGCGCAAGGAGTACAGGGGAGACACAGGCAAGAGATGGGGGGCAGGAGAGCTGGATCCATGTCTCCCCACTAGGAAACTTATAGAGAAATTGGGTTCAATCCTGGGGAAAAACTGAGGGAGGAGGCAGAAGTGTATAACCCAGGGCAGGTGAGGAAATCTAAAGCATCACTAAAAAGTTGATGTGGTTGAACACATATTTAAATCATGAGTACATCTCACACACATCGTCACATGCTTGCTCTTACGGGGCATCACAGCTGGGAGCAAGGGAGGAAGCAGGCTCTGACAGGGAAACATCTGGCCCCAGGCTGGACACCGGGGTGGGGGGGGGTGTCCCCCTGGGCGGAGCTGAACGGGGGAATGTTGTGGCCAACCCCTGTGTGGGCTGTGATCTCTCAGGGCGAAGCCCCGGGCAGTCAGGCCTGTCTCCTCCCCAGGTTCTGCTCCCACAGAGGGGCAGCTGGGCGTGCTCCCCTGTTAACCACCCAGCATCCCAAGGAGTCGAAAGTTCTGGAAGTTATGGCTAAAGTGTCAATCTTTTAGGTTATTCTTTCCTTTGTGAAGAGAAAAAGACAGAAAAGGAAGGAGGGAGGGCGGGAGAGCTTCCCCCTGCTGTAGGCAGGTGCATTTTAACAGATGCCACCATCCCCTGGCTGCTTCTTTGCAATTTTATCACTTGTTCTGTATCTGTTTCTCTTCACATTGAAAATTCTCTGCTAGTCACCATTTTAGGGCAGTAAAAACCTCCACCCTGAAGAGCCGCCTCCTGAGTGTCTGCTCAGGGGGTTATGATGTCATGGAACAGAGAGCACCCCCACCCCAGCACTCACAGACAGGACCCTGGGACAGGGAGGGGTAGGGTTTGGGGTCCTGGGTGGGGGAAACATCCCAATCAAATGGGCAAGCCTGGTAGGAGGGGGCTGAGGCCTGAGGTGCCCAGAGGATGCCTCCCCCTCCTAGAGGGAGTCAGGATCAGGATGGGGGGCTGTGGGGGCTCAGGGTATGATTGAGGTCAGTGGGGTTGGCCAAGAAGGAGGCCAGAGGAGGTTGTCCCAAGCGGGCAGAAAAGCACATGCAGTCCTGTGCTTCCTAAAACCTCATCTGCAAAGTAAGAACGAACATCAAGAATAAGTAAGAAATGCATGTCAAGTTTTTAGTAGTTTCTAGATCATAGCTGATGTTGGAAGGAAGGGAGGCAGATGAGGCAGTGATAAAGTGACTGAAGTATAATTTTTTTAAAGATTTATCTATTTATTCATACAAGAACCGGGGTGAAGGCCAGAGGCGCGGGAGGGTGAGAGAATTCACCAGAGACAGAGCGGGGAGCAGAACAGGCAGAAAGATCTAAATACACTGCTGAGGGGAGCAGCAGGCGAGACAGGAGAGGTCTGCTGCGCCATGTGGGACCCTCACCTGGCGGCCGGGATCGAACCAGCGCTGCAGAGGCTGCGGACATCTTCACAGCGCTGCGCTCAACCGCCTGCGCCGCCAGGGGAGGTCCTGAAGTACAGTATTTTTTAAAAAATGTTTCTAGGGCCTCCCTGGTGGCGCAGCGGGTTGAACGCAGTGCTGTGAAGCTGTCTGCAGCCTCTGCAGTGCTGGTTCGATTCCTGGCTGGCCAGAGAGATTCTCACTTGGCGCAGCAGACCTCTCCTGCCTCGCCCGCTGCTCCCCTCAGCAGTGCACTTCATCAGTCTGCCTGTTCTGCTCCCCGCTCTGTCTCTGGTGAATCCTCTCACCCTCCCGCGCCTCTGGCCCATACCCTAGTGCTTGTATAAATAAATAAATCTTTTTTAAA